GCAATTGCTTGTTATTCACAATGCGTCATTGCAATTCATCAGTCGAACTGATGCGAACACGACCAATTCATCGCAACGCGAAATATTGCTATGATTCATTCTCAATTTATGTAGCTTTTGTCACTAAAGCGAAGCTTCGCAACTATCAGCAAAGTTATTCCTACCGCAATATGGATGTCTGGAAAAGTTCTAAAGCAGGGCTCCTCAACCACGGCTGCTCGCATCCCTTGCAAATGCGAGATAATATTCCAAGGGGTGTGAGAAAACATTCCACTTTTTATACACTCAAGTAGGCGAGGGCAGATTTCAACGCATATATGTGTATGAAGAAAAACCAGGGTGAACTTTAACGTGTGTTTTTTTGAAAAGGCTCGAATGTACTCTAAAGTAATACTAAGGGTATACATTGGAACCTGCTAAGGGTATACACCCGAGTGCACTGCAGACACTCGGTGTAATGAATGAAAGATTTGAGTGGATATTGTGAGGAGTGCGAGTACATTCTAACTATTGTTGTGGGGATACAAGGATATTCTAAAAATTTTTTAAAGGTGCGGGCGAGAAAAAAAAAGAGTTAAAACCACTGGTCTCAACGATGATTAACGGCTTTTAACTAATTGCGTTCAAAAACAAATCAATTTTTTTTTCTCCATCCATCTATGATTCATCAGAGATATTGTATACTTGTAATGAGTCGTGTTAGCAGCGTTTCTCATTCAAGGTACACGTGATCGGAGATCAAGTTGCGTGGATTCAAGTTGGTGCAGACGGCCGGTTGTATGCTTCAAATCCACAAAATGGATTCTTTTCGCATGTTATCGGCTTTGATACGACGTCAGTTCGTCACGAAAATTGCACATGAATTTATATGCCGTTTCTATAATTTTCATATCCATTAATCAGGATTTGCGCCGCAATTTTCCAACTGAATTCGCTGCATATCGTTCAGGAACGGTGCTCCAGCGAAAGAATTTTTCTCGAAGGATGCAATTTTTACGAACGTTGGCTATACACTGAAGGGTGAGGCGTGCTGGGGATCTCTGCACCAACAGTGTGCATCAAATGAACCAATCTACGATTGGCTCGGCAATGAATGGAGCAACAAATCGGGACGGTTGGTTAACCGTGGCTAGTTCATGAGAGTAGAGCGTAGTTGATGACATCGCTGTGTAAGAACGCATGACGGATGCATTTACTTTTGTATGAATCCATGAACATTTAGATGAGCAATGAAACTGTGCCATCTTTGGAATGATTTTACGGCTAATTTCGCAACAGAAGTGCGCGGTTTAGCTGGTGAGAAATGGCTGGAATGTAACAAATCTTAATTAATCTTATGCAATTCGGAAACTTGTCGAAGATGGTGTTGGTAGCTGATCACTGGAGGAAATGACGAATTACGTTTGTAAAACGTGATCACTGAGGATGAGCAATTATCTCACAGATTGTCACTTCGATAGTGAGTTTACATCGAAAACAGAGAGATTTTTAGATCAATTGAACATCCTCAAGCATCCGTTGCAATGCGCTATG